TTGTGATTCTCAGGTAATGTATATTCTCTGAGTGAGAATATGTGTAATATAAGCCATCTATGCACAAAGCATGAGACCAAACCTGCCAGATACTAGTCTTAAAACAATTTGTTCATGAGAGTTAGCCCAACCTGGAAAGCAAGTCACACACCATGGCCCAATGTCACACACTTCTGCCCAAAGACCAGTGAAAAATGCAAAAAATTATTATTCAATGACATATACTAACAATAAACAGCATATGCTGATGGATAGTGGCCGCTGCCTGCCAGTGGATGTCACCAGTGTTTGGTGGTGTCTGCCACCTGCCATGTGAATCGACCAGACCAAATACCAGTGGCAGCCAGCGTGGCATGCTGAACACTGGTATATCCCAACATACCCCACTACTTGCCACTGATACACAGCAATATTCACCAGTTGCTGCTGTATTCCGATGGGTTCCAGTGGACAACGAACGGTGGTGTTCACAAGCGCTCACGGCGACGCACCCGTATATGGCAAGGACCGCCGGCAAACACCAATGGCCACCGGCGAACACCGGTGGTTACCGCTGGAGGTTGGCGAACGCCGAAGTTGCAAGTCACGGGCTTATAACTCCGCTCTTACACGCCGAATCAGGGCGGAGGTTCGAGTGCACTTTGTATGGCCTTGGCTTTCGCCTTCACAATGGCTAGGAGTGCATCTCCGAAAATGCCGATCTATCCAATATTGGACTTTAACGACCATACCGGATTACACACATAATGTCGGTTTTCGCTGACCCCGCCATTATTTTGTTTCTCGATTTCTAGCGATTTTTTGGCGAGCTGTCAGAAAACTCGCTTCAGGTACAGTACGGGCCGTAGCCAACGTCGGGGCCCGATGTCTGGGGCGCTTGCAAAGCCGGCTAACACAGGGCGGCCTAAGAGTCTTACTAACGTTGGTCACCCTGAGACGCCATGATGTAGCAACGACGGGGGCCTAAAATCGGGAGTCGGCGAAAAAGTCCTCTCGCTTCTACCTCTGACTCTGACACCTTGAGTCGCACTTGGTCATGTGTTTATCTGCATTCAAAACGCTCCTGCTGCTCATCAGCGTGGTTCAGCCCGCACTAGTACTGGCGAATACCGCTTGCCCGGCTGAAGTTCCCGCCTTAGTCGAGGCCGAGCCGTTCTCCCAGACGATCTTCGACTATATCGTTATTGGTGAGTGTTAGGGCTCGATGTTCCGTATGTCCGTAGTTAACTGCTCGCCGCTTCAGGTGGAGGAACGGCCGGTGTGGCCTTATCTGCAAGGTTTGTCCCGTCGCAGGCAAAATCATTGCTTGCTACTTACATGTGTAAGACTGTCAGAAGATCCATCTCTAGTCGTTGGTCTTATTGAAGCAGGAACTACGCATTTCAGCGACCCAGTTGTTGATGCTGCTGGTGCATGCGTCGCGTCTCCGATTTTTCCTCGCTAATAGACACCTTTTTTCAGGGAACTCTCCCGTGGGTAATTCGTCATACGACTGGCTCTTTCTATCAACACCCCAAGTGAACGCAGCTAATCAAACAATTTCATTGCCAAGGTTGATCCCCCTCACATCTCTAATCCGATCGTCTGCTAACGGTTCGGTCTCAAGAGGTAAAATGCTCGGAGGGTCCAGTGGTATCAACTCAATGGCGTGGTGCCGTGCCTCATCCGCCGAGTACGACTCTTGGGACAGCTTCGCACCAAACCAAGGATGGACGTGGTCGGGTCTTCTACCTGTCATGAAGAAAACGGAGACGCTTTCTTTACTACCGCGGAATCCATATCCAGGAATATCACAGCAAGCAGCTGAGAAGACGTTAGCGGACCTGACTCATGTCGACGGATTTTCTGGACCCATAAACGTACGTAGTATTGCTCACATGATCAGATGTCCATGATTCTAATACAATATTGAACGATTGCTCAGGCTTCTCACACGCCATTTTATTTTGAGACTGTCCCGAGCTTAGTTAAGAGCCTCAACGGGCTTGGCATTGAAACAAATCCGGAGCCGGTAAGCCAATCTCTTCCCATATCAGTCTCTATCGCTTATGCCGGATGCCCGCGTCCCAGCAAGGTGGCAATGCGACGGGCATCACGGACATTTTGCTATCGTTCGATCCCAAGCACGGCACCCGGTCATATTCAGCAGTGACTTATTTCTGTTCTCATTCACAAAACCCCAATTATCATGTCCTTCTGGATGCTCAGGTGCGTTTTCACCCCCGATCACAGCTCTACCTCTCATCACCACAACGCCAGGCGACGAAGATCTTATTTTCGGAAACGGATTCTGGTCTGACCGCTACCGGCGTCCAATTCATCAGCGGAAACAAGACGTATATCGCTAATGCAACGTGCGAAGTGATTCTCTCGGCTGGCACTGACCAGACGCCTCAACTGCTGGAGCTTTCTGGTTAGTGTTTGTTTACCTTTACACGACTTAATCAGTGACCCTTCACCCCCTGCGAAGGTATCGGCAACTCATCTATTTTGAGTGCTTATGACATCAATCCTCTCGTTGATCTTCCTGGTGTCGGCGAGAACTTCCAAGTGCGTTATCGTTTCTTTTGCATCGCTCCGGATAACGACCAAATCATATCTGAAAACTTTCGGCAGGAGCACCCAGTTGTCTCCGTACAATTCGAACTCATTCCCGACATCAATACTTTCGGTACGTGCTGCTCGGCTGTGTCAAGTTGAGCACGGCTGACGAGTATGATCCGTAGATATATTGAGGAACAATGCGACCTTCGCTGCGCAGCAAGAGGCACTTTAGTCGGTTCACTGCAATTGCTTATTAAACATGGGTGGTGCTGATACCCGAACAGCGCTAAGAACCATACAGGCCTCCTGACAGCCACAGATAACACTGCCGCGTTCGTGCCGCTGGCGAAAGTTGTAGATGCTGCTCGCCTGGACGACCTGTTGGATATCTTCGATCAGAGCATGCAGCAGGGTCTGCAAACCGGCGTACAGCAACAGCAAGCCAAGTTTATTCGCCAATGGATTTCAGAGGATAGCGTTGGCTCGGTTGAGATTATCGGGTGGAGCAGAGGTGTCATTGACCCTGCAGCGAACAAGAGTTATGTCACGCTGATCAACGCTCTGCTCGTGAGTATTCCTGCATGTGTATCTATACTGCGTCCTGACTAGTCGTATAGCATCCGCTTAGTAGAGGAAGTGTGGTGAGGAATGAATGATGCGACGTCGCTTGCACGCTCTGACTGGCAGAACCGTAGCATATTGCCTCCAGTGATCCCTTGGCGCCTCCTGCGATCAATCCCAATTTCCTCGCACAGGAGTTTGGTGAGGAGATTTTCCTATAATTCTTAGAACCTTGCACTGATTTCAACTAGATGTACAGGTGCTCGTAGATATTTTGAAGTACGCCCAGAAGATTGGTCAGACGGAGCCGTTCGCAAGTCTGGTAGCGGCACAGACGAATCCGAGCATGTCAGCGCAGACTGATGATGACCTCATCGCGTAAGTTGTAACTATACTTCTGAATTTTTCCATGTGCATAAACGCGTATATTAGATACATTCGTAGCAGCGTCCAAGTGTGTGCTTCTACCGTTTGAGTGACGGGACAGCTCATTTTTTTTCTTGTGCTACAGGGCGAGGATCATCACATAGGTTTGTCTGTAATCTTTCAATCACGTGCTGTAGCATCTAACGCAACTAATGCAGGTACTGCGGCGATGGCTCCTCGGGAACTTGGTGGTGAGATTACGCTGGTGTTTATATTTTGCCTTCGTCACGCCAACATAGCCTGTAGGAGTGGTCGACGGGACCTTGAAAGTCTATGGAACCACCAATCTCCGGGTTGTGGATGCGAGCATCTTCCCCAACCATATCGGAGCGCACACGCAGGCAACTGTATACGCTATCGCCGAGAAGGTAAGCAGTGGTTCAATCCAGTTTTCATTCTTCCGCTCAACGTTGGACACCATGAAAGGCTGCGGACATAATCAGGAGCGGCTGAAAAATGTGTTCTCATGTTCCTCTGTTTCATACGCTGATTGTTTCAGAAATAATCAGTTCTGTACCGTTTTGAAACATCAGAAATCGAAGAGCAGCAGTGTATACAGTACTTGGAGATTTTTGGGGATGCGGCCTGAGTTGCGAAATGACGACGTTACCACATAGTCTAAGAATCCTAGATGCGGCCTAGTCGGCAACGCGGATGCAGGTGCGTTCTGCTCGTTTTGCAGAGAAGGAAAAATGAGAAGTTCGCTCAGTCACCGGTCAGCATCGACCATCCGAGTCTGCAGTGCACAGGTGTTCATTAAGCATCATGTTCCACGATCAGACCGGCTACTGAATTTGAGAACTTCTCAGAAGTGATTCTGACGGCAGTATACGTCAAACTTCACTCACGCCGTCAAAGCGTGATGTATTTACTGAACTGAAACAAGGGGCCAAATATGACTGCGAACATCAGATGTTACTGTCAGGCAGAAGAGAGGACTCTAGAGATCGATGCAGACCACCAGGCGTGATTGAGACACCAAGCTTCAGGCTTCATGCATTCATGTACAAGCGTCACGCCAGCATGCCGCAGTTGTTCACATGCCTTCTGCTCATATATCAAGTCATGAAGCATATTTCCAACCTTCAGACAAATAAAATGCCGTTCAAGGACGTGCTGTTTGAGACCGCAGGTAAGAAGGACAAATTTCCACCCAGCATGCTTCGAGAACTTCGGCTCACGCATACTCAGAACCTTCCCCACATCCATCTCCGCCCACAGCAACGCTCTGCAGGTAGCGAACATATTCCTGATTATCAGCTCTGTCTGGTGCTGATTCCTCGCCCTAATGTTTCGCATATGTGCCGGGCACGGCTTCTATGCATCATCATGCGGATTGACTATAGTACTCTAACGCACTTGACTCCCCTGTGTCAACCGGCTGTTCTTGTCCTCCCCCTTTCCCTCACCGTCTGTAGCGACGTGCTTACTGTATACCAGTGCTGATCAATCTTCTTTGTAGTAACCTTCCTTTTGGACTTTCTTGTGCCTCTATACCACTTTCCCTCTACTGTGCCCGAATTCCTTCCTCGCCAACAGGCGAGTGGCTGTGATCTCTCATGATGGTCTTGGACTGGACTGCACGAGGCTCACTGCTCACCGAGTTTAGTTGATATGCACTCTAGTACCTGAAAGGCCCACATGTAGACAGTTCGTTGCAAACTTTCGGGCGTCATATTACGCGTTGGAGCTCGTACAGTTCTACTTTCTTCGTCTTCTGACGTGCACTCCGCAATTCGGCACCACTGGCAGTAGACGGCCCCATACAGTGCTTTACTCAGGTAGACTAACCATCTACTGGTGCCCAAAGATCGCCGTTGGCTGGTACTGCTCCTCGAGATACTTGATCTCTTCGTCGGTGAGTTTAATGTCGAGTGCATCTGGCACCAGATGTTCGGTCAGCCAGGCACGAGGGATATCGGCGACAAGCAAGGCCTGAACGCACCGATAATCTCTTTCAGGTTCTGTAGGTTCGTTGTGCCAACAATGGGCGCGGTGACTCCATCTTTGGCAAGCTCCCATGCAAGTGCGATTTGCGCCATGGTCGCGCCTTTCTTTTGAGCGAGCTCCTCAACGCGTGCGACAACCGCAGGCGTGCCCGGGCCGGTGTAGCCGTGAACCCACCTTCAGATATAGTTAAGCGTACGGCGTAGGACAGGAAAACGGGAAAACGTACGCATCAGACTTTGTGCGCGATGTGCCCTTCTCAGTCGTCACGGAGAACGGGCGCGTGAGCAGGCCACGCGCGAGCGGAGACCAAGGGATCGAGCCGACGCCAAACATCTGCGGTACATGCCAGGTCAGCAGCTACAAACACGCACGCACGAGCATGAACTGACCTTCAATGTCGGGATCATCTCGCGCTCCTCTTCGCGGTAGACGAGGTTATAGTGATTTTGCATCGAGATGAACGGCGTGAGCTTGTTGTTGATTGCGTAATCTGTGAGCGACTCAGTGTTAGTCCAAGCTTGTCGTTATCAGAAGTGAGCATGAATGCGTACTTTGCATGGCGTGGACTGGTATACGAGCATAGTCAGCGTGCGAAGTGACTTAAGGCTAGGAGGCGAGCTCACATTGGTAGGCGTGGCAGGAGCTCATGCCGATGTAACGGACATAGCCCGCCTGGACAACATCGTGCAGCGCTTGCATTACCTCCTCGATCGGCGTGGTCACGTCGAACCTGTGGCCTGTAGGGCATATGTAAGCGGAACGGCAGTAATTTTAAAAAAGGCGTACATTGTAAAACGTCGATGTAGTCGACCTGCAGACGCTTCAGGCTCGCCTTGACGGAGTCGAAAACGTGCTATATAGTTCAAGTTAACAAACTTTGTGCAGATGCTTCAGAGCAAGATCGCGAACCTTGCGGTTCAGTCCTATCTGATTAATAATACCAAATTCTTGAGGCGTCTTACCCGAGCGGAAGATATTGACGTTCGGGTCTGTGGACATCGCACCAGAGAGCTATCGGGCAACGATTCAGTCGGAGAAAGGCCGGAGGTTGACATAGTAAGCATACTTTGGTCATGATGACTAACTCCTCGCGCCGAAGCCCTAGCTTGCGGATAGCG